TGATGAAGAAGAAGAAGAAAAGAACCTGAGGTGCAAGTCAGTTGTTCCTACATTCCTGATTCTGTTATTCCAAAGGTCTACTATGTACGGGGTGTGATGTATCTGTGCTTCATTATAGAGATTTCATCTGGTGCTCATCTTAAAGGTTTGCTGTGCTGGAACAGCTGCCTTTAGCCTTTCATGTCTCTTGGATGGTGTTAGGAGTAATACTATTAAGTACTCAGCAATATGGCTTGCATTTAAAGTGTGAAACTGTCATAAGTCTCAGCAGGGAACACCACTAGGCATGGGATTTTTGGATCTACAAGTCTCATAATTTTTTTATTCTGGCAGTTTTATCTGGTAGACGCCTTACAGACAGCTCAATGTGGCTCACTTGGAAGAAAGGCTTAAACTAGAAAGCTTGGAGGCCTAGCTCAGCCTAATCTTTCGGTTCAAAACTCAGTGCTAGCTGTGGGCTTTCTTTCGAACAGGACTCTAGATGGAACTAGGCCTAGCTAGGCCTCAAAGCCTCCCAATTTAGTCTTTTCTTCTAAATAAGCTGCATTTAGGCTTCTGTGCATCAAATAGAACTCCCAGAATGGAGAATTGTAGAAATTTTACCCCCCTCCCCCAAAATCCCACCTCTAGACACTACATATGTGTGGAATAGCATTCATTTCTTTTCATGTCCAAGCTTTAGACTGAGTGTGGAGAATATAAATTTCTTATTAAAGTTCCCTCCTATTAATGGCATCTTGGTTTGGTTTCGAGTCCTTCAGTCTGAAAATTTAGAAACTTAAATTAAATTAAACTGTTTTTAAATTGTTGGAAATCACTTTATAAATATATCAACTGTTTTAGAGCCTTTATGCCAATCTTATTGATTGTGTCCGGTTCTAAGATCTATTGAGGTATGGCAGGTTGGAAATGCTTGAACAAATAAATCTGCAATCTCCTGAGTCATAGTAACTGTAGTCAAATTATGTCCCCAAGTAGCTATCTTACAAACAACGACAACAAAAAACAAAAGGACCTTCACAAAATGAGGGCATTCAGGATCCTAGGATCCTACTCCTTTGTAGTTTGAACACTGCATCCAGTTTACCAGTTCTTGTAGAATGCGAACTACATCTACAAGTATATCTCTAAAAAAGATAGGGATTTTTTCCAGAGGTAGTCAGTAAAGCTACAACCCCCATGAAGGTTTACTGCTCTCAATGTCCAATGTCAATATTGTTTGTGTCTAGAGAAAGGGGAGGAATAAAATATAGATGTGAGCAAAGAGATGTTACCATTGTTTATGGCCGTTATCTTTTGTCCATTTGTCTTCTGAGTCATGCCTGTTAAATCTGGTGGCAAAGTTTTACTGAAGCTAATCTGGGAAAGTCAATTTTGCTTTAGAAGAATGAGCTTCATTTTACTGTGCCTCATGCATCATTAACAGAATTGCCTGCTGAACCTCTGCTCCAGAATCTCTAATAGAAAGGAGGGGGTGCAGTGATAAATGAAAAAGAAGGGGAATTGGCAAGATAGTGACAATTCCGCAGTGTTGGCGGATTGGAGGACCAGGTCTGATATGTAATCTGAATGTCACATTGAAGAGAAAGTACTATATAATCAGCCTCCCAACAAGTTCTTTCTGATCCAAACTCAAAGTTTCAAAATATGCTACTTTAGAACATAGCCAATACGGGCCATCTGCATTGTCTTTCTGTGGATGTGCATCTACAGTTTCTATTGAGAGGGTTGGGGAGCAGAGCTATAAAAATTAATCTTTTAAAAACTCTACTTGGTTGCAAGAAAGTCAAGTAGAAGAACTAGAAAGTTACCAAAGACCTCTCCTATCCAACTCGTGGTTGGTCTAGACCAGTGGAGGCAAACCTTTTTTTGCTTGAGTGCCCAAAATGAGGGGGTGGGGAAGAAACCAGTGGCTGCTGTGCCGCCCAGAAGCCCAGAACCGGAACAGGAAGTGGCAGTTTCAGGGGGAATCATGGGGATGGACAGGAAGTTAAAGGGGGAATCATGGGGACGGACAGGAAGTTAAAGGACCCAGAACAGGAAGAGAAAGGGGGAATCCCAGCTGCAGCCACTTCAAAAGGTTTGTCGTGTGCCAGAAGAAAGGGCTTCGCGTGCCAGCTGTGGCACGCATGCCATAGGTTCACCATCACTGGTCTAGACCTACCTTTTCTTCAGAGGTATTAGATCTGTTAGCAATCATCATGCCAGCCACTAAGGTACATTTTGGATGCATATTCCTTATTTAGGCTAATAATGTGAAGTCTGAAAGGCTACCTTGGCAAATTATCATGACTAACATGTATCTCTACATCAACTATGCTGTTTCATAGCTGCTGGGAAACATGAGATGTGACATGCAATCACGCTCATAGGCTGGCTTCCCAGAGGAACTTTGTTGATTACTGAATAAACAGGATGTTCTACTACATAACCCTTTGTTTTGATCCAGCAGGTTTTGCCCTATGTTCTTGTGGATGCAAAACTGTAGGACCAGCCCAAGATGTTCGGCAGCTTTCAACAAAGCTGTCTATCCCCAGTCCACTTCCAGAAGAAAACTGCACAGACAGTTTCCAGGGGAATAAGAAGAGCCATGTTAGTCTGTTGCCAATGGAGGCTGGTGGCTCTTATATCAATGGAATGCTCAGTCTATCCAGATTTTAGTCTAAACCTTACAGGTGCTGAACCTCCTCACCACAAAATAGGTTCAGCACCTTGGATAAGTCCCTTAAAGTTTGGACTAGAATCTGAGTGGATTTTTTTGGCATTGGAATATCCAGCCTCCACTGTTGGTTACAGCAAAAGGAACAAGAAACTGTGGCACCTAGGAGACAAAGAGCCTTTAGTTGATCTACTAATCTTTTTTGGTCTGCAGCCCAGGTGAACCTTTCTCAGCACCGGCAAAGGTTAGAAGGCTAATTTAGTAGGTGGCACACAAACATATCTCTGAGAGAGATGAATAAGTATTACAGGCTTAGGAGGAATGTCTGGAGAGCTTCCACTGTCACCTGAAGCAGTTGCTTCATAGGGTAGGGCCAGCCCTGTGACACAAAGAGCCTACATTTACATTAGACTTCCGTTGCTCTTGTGCTACTTGTGTTAAAAGCTTATGGCTGTTGATAGGAAGAGAAAAGAGAGATCATGCATTTGTAGTGTGAATGAGCATTCCAGTCATATATATTTTACATTTGCCTTACAAATGTACTGAAGTGAAAAACTCTTGCATTTCTCTTGCTGCACAAACAATTACATAGATAATTAATCTGGGATATACAGATTGCCCTATTTGTAGCATGACATATAGTAATTGGTGCTTAACTCTGGAACAATTGAGTTTGATTACTGTGTGTGTGCATGTTTGTTTATCTGTCTGTCTGTTGCGGGGAGGAGAAGGAGGGAACACATTTTTTTAGCTTCATATAACCATCTGGATAATATCTGAAATGGGTCCAAAAGAGGCTGGAATGGCTTAAGGTGACTGAGCCATTTCCAAGACATCTGAAGTGACTTTATGTGTTGATGTCCTTATGTTGACTGTCTTCAGACCATGAGCCCTCTGAAGTACCATTGAAGAATTCCCTGTCACCCTGTTCACATCTCATAACAGAAGAAAGGAAAACTAGAAAGGCCTGAGCACATTAGATAAAAAAACAACAACAGGGTGTCCAGGTCTCTGCAGCTCTGGTTGAAATTAGAATAAAGTGTTGGTTGTTTGAATGAAACTGGGACTTTCTTCTTTCAGATGACCTCTGCGACATTAGATGAAAAAAAAAACAGGGTGTCCAGGTCTCTGCAGTTCTGGTTAAAATTAGAATAAAGTGTTGGTTGTTTGATTGAAACTGGGACTTTTTTCCTTCAGATGACCTCTGCATCATGTGATTCATGATTGCCTGATGTGTATGACTTGCATGAATGAATGACTTTACATAAGAAGGATCCTGATTGGCTTCAACTTGAGCTGAGCTTTCTGGCTACGCACAACCCAGAATGTAGTATTTTGTATGGATGTGGGCAGAGGGCAGAAGAGAACTATATATATATATCCTTCATATCACTATTGCACATTCCACCAACTAATCTCACAACCCACTTTCAGTTCTCTTCTTCTACTACGAGACTTCGAAACCATGAAAGTGTTTGAAGCATAAGGTTGAAGAAATTGGCACTATAACTCCTTATCCTTTACATATATCTGTGAAGGATAAGGAGCTATAGTGCCAATTTCTTCAACTTTATGTTTCAAACACCTTCATGGTTTCGAAGTCTCATAGTGCTACCAGGCTCAAGATCTAAGAATCAGCCCTTGATCTCCTTTTACTTTGTGTTCTGCCATTACTTTCAATTAGGCACCATCTTCTAGGGTAGCTATTTACACACTACTGAAATGGGATGACAAGAAACACAAACTGTTTTGCCTAAAACTGCATGCACTAATTGATATGTACCCATTGAGGCTGCTGCACAGTTGCTCACTTTGGATGGACAACTTCAGGGTCCTTGATCTTCCTCCATAGGATTCTTTATCTTGAAACCAGACTTGGACTGGACAGTCCATCAAATGGAGGACACCATCAAAGGAGGAGTGTTCTATGGCAGTTCTTCAGATAGAGGGCTTTCCTCCCTAAAAGAGGGCATGTGGAAACCCTACCATTTTCCTCCATTGTGCTTGCTGGTATCTCCCACTGGCTTTTCCATTCGGGGTGTGCTGCCCTTAAGCTTAGCATACATCTCCACTTAGCCTTTATGTGATGCTTTCCTTTTGTTTCTGTTTACATGTTATATTGTATGTCTTCTCTCTCTCTCTGTCTCTCTGTCTCTCTCTCTCTGTCTTCCTCTCTATCTCTTTTTCTATGCTCTTTCTTTGTCTGTCTACGCTGTTGTGCTGACCCTCTCCTGGCTACTCATTCCTGCTGCCTATAGCATCCATAAAGTGCCCTCTGCTGACCTGAGGAGAGTATCAGCTCCCCCTGACACCTTCACAGTGTAAGTACTTGCCTTTTTTTCCTCCCTATTTTTAAATGGCCCTGAATTCCCTTACCTCTGCTCCCTCCCACTCTGCATGGTTTGTATAGTGCTAACCCTCCACTCATTCTGAGATGCTTTCACTCAAACCTAGCTTGTGTGTAGAAATGAGGCTTTTATTGGATTGTGTGATGTCAGCGTTCAGAGGGGCTGTGGCATCTGAGGCAAGTGGCAAGGCAAGTGGCACCATGTTCTACTTGAGGCATGGGTTTGAGCCTTCAACCAGGTGAAAGGAAGGGGAAAATGTGGGGTCTCTCTACTGTAAAGGTAAAGGTAAAGGTTCCCCTTGACAATTTTTGTCCAGTCGTGTTCGACTCTAGGGGGCGGTGCTCATCCCCGTTTCCAAGCCATAGAGCCAGCGTTTTGTCCGAAGACAATCTTCCGTGGTCACATGGCCAGTGCGACTTAGACACGGAACACTCTTACCTTCCCGCCGAGGTGGTCCCTATTAATCTACTTGCATTTGCATGCTTTCGAATCGCTAGGTTGGCGGGAGCTGGGACAAGCGACGGGTGCTCACTCCGTCGCGGGGATTCGATCTTACGACTGCTTGGTCTTCTGACCCTGCAGCACAGGCTTCTGCAGTTTAGCCCGCAGTGCCACCACATTCCTCTCCCTACTGTACTGCCCCCAAAAATAACCTTATAAAGAGAAAGCTTATGCTTTCAATAAAATAAAATTCAATTAAAAGGAAAGTGCATAGAATTGGGCATAACCTTTCAACAGAGCCAGGGCAGGGTCTGCTGATAATCTGAGGAGAGAAGATCACAGCTAGAATGACATTGGCAGATCTGAGACAGAGTCAAGGAAAAAAACCAATGGGTTACAGGTAGACAGAAGTCAGAAGTCATGTTTCAGAGTCCAATATGGGTTTCCTGACCCCCACCACCAGCAGAATCAGTATCCACTGATTATCTTACCTGAAAATACTAGATAAAACCCCATAGAAATGCATATTTATTTTCAGGGTTTATTTACCAGAACTTCCCACTAAAGCAAGCCATAAGCCATTCTATGTATAGCATTTTACTGTATACTTCATGGTTTTTTGGCATCTATGTGGGAGCTTGGAACTAATCCCCAATGGATACTGTGGTCCTACTGCAAAATATTAGCTGACATGTCATTATTATTTTTTTCTTATGCCTCTTAGAATAAGTCTTCTGGAAAAGGCCTTTATGAACATTTATAGCATGAAAAAATGGTCTTTATTAAGAGAAGTGTTGACCATGGCTTGGATAGGGGCGGCCTCATGGTGGAGCATACATTTTGCAAGCAGAAAAGATTTCCTGGGAGGATGAGGAAAATATCCCACCTGAAACCCAGGGGAGTTGCTGCCAATCAGTGGTCACAATAGTGAGGTAGATGAAGCCCGTGATTCTTTGTGGAATAATAGACCGTGTCAATCAACTCCTCTAACCTTGTGAAGTATATTAGTTCAAGGATGTGAAACCTTTGCTTCCCCAGAGGTTTTGAACTACAATTCCTGCAGTGCTTTATCTCTGATCCTTGGAGCTTTTGAAGACTTGAGGTCCAAAATATCTGAAAGGCCAAAAGCTGTGTTGGAGATAATGGCACTTTTTACACTTTCCAAATACATCTATGCCTATTATATACAGAGATACTGCTTCGTTTCTGTCACGTGAAGCAGACTAGAACTTTAGAATATGCTTCCATCCTCTCATAACATCACTTAGCTGTTAAAAAAAGGGACTGGGAGTAAAGGAGGAAATTACATTTGTCTTAATAACAATGCCCAGTGCTGTTGCCTTTGTTGATGTGTGTGGCTTAGTTGTTGCATGTTGTGACTTCTTTCCTTCTTTCTTTATTTTTGTCAGAGCATTGCACAATTTAGATAATTAGACTGGAATCTGACTAGAAGCAGGCTACTTCAATAGTGTTATCTTGGCCATTTGGTAGATCTTTTGTGCACATTGTGAGTCATAAATTGCATGCATATAAGTTCTACGTTGATTGAATTTCTCCACAGTTACCGAACTTTTGTCCTGTATCCAAATAGCCTCATTTCACTTGTTTATTGTTTGATCTTTCAACTTCAGTCCTGTATCCAAATAGCCTCATTTCACTTTCAACTTCACTTTGAAATCTATTGAGTGACTTCCAGATGGTCCAGCTAGAGGGGCTATAACTATTCCGTGAAAACTTCCAACATGTTCTGGCTCTCTGCTTGATTGCCTTTCTTCTTCGTGAAATGGTAGTGATTTTAAAAAAGGAGGAAAGCCATTCTAACTACACAAATGGGACATGTAAATCTGCCAGAAGGCAAGTTTGACGTCCATAGTATGCTCTAAAAGGACAGATCTGTGACAGTGGAACAACTTTTTACCTTCCATGTTAAAGGCCAAAACACAGTTTTCTCATTCTGTCTTCTCAGCAAAAGCAGTGATGTTTACCCTGGTACCCCACCTTCTATACTTGCTTTCTATTGTTTTATTTTGGTCTCCTGACTGATATCTGGTACAGATCATTCACCTCTCTTGTTATTATGGTAGTGTACCAGCTTTCCCTGATCTCCTCATTCTCCAGCAAAAAAGAGGGGTGAATTGCAGTTCCTCAAAGTATCCAAGGGTGATGCTCCATATTTTAAATGAGGCATGGAGGTGGCCTGCCCTGTTTAACACTCCCAAATACCAATTTCCCAATTTTTCCAAGTGGACTTCTACTAGTATCACTTTCATGCTTTGCATTTTGTGGGGCATTTTAGAAAGACTCTGAAGCCCTCTAAAGAGATCTGGAAAACTGGCCCCTAGAGCCACCAAAGAATGACTCTCTTGCTCTTAAGAGAAAGTGGGGAATCTTGTGGGGTTTTAAATATTCCTTACTGAAATGTCTCCTTCAGGTTGAACCTGAAGAATGGAGAATTTATGGAGTGCTCTTTCCAGCCTTAATTAGGTGGGGGAATATTTGCCCCCCACATATTAATGAACAACTGTTCCCATCTCCACTGGCTCTACTCCCTGAGAACAGCTGGAAAAAGCAATCTATCAATATCTAAAGGACTGCATTTTCTCCAACCTAGTACTATATGAATAAATGAATATATAAAAATGGATGATGATGATGAGGATGCCAGAATTTTACTACCAGCTACCTATGTTGGTGGTAAATTCCTTGAATACTGACACACAAAGATGGCAAGTGGTTACAAGACTCAGAGATGCAATCCAGTAATGTCAGAATGTCAACATACCATCTTATGCCCTCATTCCATTATACATTAAACTATATCACTCCATAATCTTAGGAATGCAGAGCTGGAAGGGACACTATGTTTCATCAAGTCCAGCCCCTGTTAAGAAGACACAATGAGAAATCGAACTCCCAACCTCTGGCTCCACAACCAGATACCTAAGACACTGAGCTATCCTGCAGTCTTCATATTAATCCACAGAGTAATACAGTCCTGCTGTTTTTAGGGTAAGGTAAAGGCAAAGGTTCCCCTTGACAATTTTTGTCCAGTCGTGTTCGACTCTAGGGGGCGGTGCTCATCCCCGTTTCCAAGCCATAGAGCCAGCGTTTGTCTGAAGACAATCTTCCATGGTCACATGGCCAGTGCGACTTAGACACAGAACGCTGTTACCTTCCCACCAAGGTGGTCCCTATTAATCTACTTGCATTTGCATGCTTTTGAACTGCTAGGTTGGCGGGAGCTGGGACAAGTGACGGGCACTCACTCTGTCGCGGGGATTCGATCTTACGACTGCTGGCCTTCTGACCCTGCAGCACAGGGCTTCTGCGGTTTAGCCCACAGCGCCACCACGTCCCTTTTTGTTTTTAGGGACCTTCTTGCTAATGCTGCTGAGTGGGGCTCTTGATCTTTCCATCCCAAGCCCTGCCCTAACAAGCATCACTGCAGGGCAGTGGCATATGCTTCCTTTGAAATTTGTTTACCCACGTGACAGCTCTCTGTTACTTCATAATGCACGGCCAGCCCTCTAAGTCAGTGGTTCTTAACCTTTCACGTGACAGCTCTCTGTTACTTCATAATGTACGGCCAGCCCTCTAAGTGGTTTCCAATCTACTTGACCGCTTGGCTTGACTTCTTTCAGCATCCCCGTTAATTTTAGATGTGGGGTCGAGGCAGAAAGATAGTGGCATCTTTTTTTTTAAACAATGAGACTTCAGCTAATTTGTTAGTCAAAGATATTCTCTATCTCCAGATCTGAAAAGAATAGATTAATCAGGCAGCTGCACAATGACTGACAATTAGTGTGTCTGATAAATTAAAGCACAAACCCAAGGGGCACTACAGAAATTGGATTTGAGATGCTTGTTGCTTTGAGATTCAAATGCGCTTCCCCAGCTTGGCAGAGTGTGTTGTTTCTAAAATCCTGTTGGAACAACATTACAGACCTGATTCAGAGGAATGTGAGTGGCAGGTGATAACCTTCAAATGTCAAAAGTCCACTTAAGGAATTAGCCTTGCATTTTGGAAATGGAAGGTTATAGATTCTTGGCCAGAATTCTCCACTACTAATGGGTGTGACCTTCTCTGAAATTATCTTGGCGACTTCAAACTGGCACTAAAACCTCATGCCCTGTTATAAAATCATTTCCCTCCAGATTGCTTGTACACCGGTTTAGATAAATATTTGGCTAAAGTTAAACAAACAAAATATCTTATTCATCATTGCTGCCCACAGAGAAAATGCTTTGTTGCGCTCACTAAAATCTCTGTGCTAGCTGATGATGTTAATTATTTCATAATAATCATTTTATAATAAGAGCCCCACGGCACAGTGGTTAGACTGAAGTACTGCAGTCAAGACTCTGCTCACAACTCGAATTCGATGCTGGCCAGTTTAGGTAGCTGCCTCAAGGTTGAGTCAGCTTTCCATCTTTCCAAGGTTAGTAAAACAATGTTCAGCTTATTGGGGAGCAAAATGATGTTTGCACAATTATTAGAGATGGGCATTTACCACAGTTCAGTGGTTTGACGT